ACATATGGGGAGCAATATTATAGGCAGAAACATGGGTGTGCTATGGGGTCTCCAGTTTCTCCTATTGTTGCCAACCTGTACATGGAGGAGGTAGAAAAGAGAGCCTTGACGTCCTTTTCAGGGACACCACCAAGTCATTGGTTTAGGTATGTTGACGACACCTGGGTTAAAATTAAATCTCAGGAAGTCCAACATTTTACTGACCACATCAACTCTGTGGATAAATACATCAAGTTCACACGAGAAGATGAAAAAAATGACAGGTTGGCTTTCTTGGACTGTGAGGTCTCAGTCTCTGATAGAGGACATTTGCAAACTGAGGTGTACCACAAAACCACCCACACAGACCAGTATTTGCAGTTTGACTCCCATCACCCTTTGGAGCACAAGTTAGGAGTCATCAGGACTCTGTACCACAGAGCAGACAGCGTCCCCACTAGCTCGGGAGCCAGGCAGAAGGAGAAATCCTACACAAGACAGGCTCTAGAGCAATGTGGATATCCTAACTGGGCCTTCCTGAAAGAAGAAACCCAAACAGGACTCCAGTCAGCCAACAGGTGAAAAGGAGGAACCCAGACCCAGACCAGTGGTCATGCCATATGTTGAGGGAGTATCAGAGAAACTGAGACGTTTATTTTCTAAACATAACGTCCCAGTGGCTTTTAAACCCTAAAATACATTAAAGACTGGTTCATCCCAAAGATCCAGTCCCCCGGCACAAACAGAGTAATGTTGTGTATGCTGTTCAGTGTCAGGAAGGTGATCAGTCTTACATCGGGGAAACTAAACAGCCACTGGCCAAAAGGATGGCCCAGCACAGAAGATCAACATCATCAGGCCAGGACTCTGCGGTCTACACTCATCTCCAGGCCAGCGGTCACTCTTTCAGGGATGAAGATGTTCACATCCTGGACAGAGAGGAACGATGGTTTGAGAGAGGAGTAAAGGAGGCCATCTTTGTGAAAAGAAACCGTCCATCATTAAACGGGGCGGAGCCTCCAGGTTCAACTG